ATCGCGCATCGCGACGAGAAGCTTCTGCCGGATGGCGGGGAAGAGCGGCTTGAGACCCGGAGGCGGCAGCAGCCGCTCCCACGGCCGCAGCGACGCGTGCAGCGGCGCGCTGTCTGCGCCGAGCGACGGCGACCACGCGCCCACCTCGCCCACAAGCCGCGGAAGCACCTGGTGGTCGCCGCCAGTCATTCATTGGCAGCGAAGCTACTTAAGAGACGGAGCAGGCGCGGCACCACCTGCCCGGCCAGCACCTCGCGATCTCTCCCCACATCTCCCCACATCTCGGCACATCTCCCCACATCTCGCCACCTGCCCGGCCAGCACCTCGCGATCTCTCCCCACATCTCCCCACATCTCCCCACACCTCCCCACACCTCCCCACACCTCCCCACACCTCCCCGCATCCCCACATCTCCCCACATCTCGCCACCTGCCCGGCCAGCACCTCGCCAAACAGCGCGGCCGGCAGCAGCGCCCTCCACGCGGACAGCAGCGCCGTCGCGGAGGTCGCGTCGGCCGCGCGCCATTCGTTGGCGAGCGCCTATTCACAGCAGCCGGTGTGAAGAGACGCTGTTCACACCGGCCCGCGCGCCATTCGTTGGCGAGCGCAGAGCGGACGGGCGGCAGGACGACGGCGTACAGCAGCGCGCAGAATGCCTGCTCCGCGCCGCGTGCAGCGACGCCGCCCGCGCCTGCGGGTGGTGCGTGTGTGAGTACGCGCCGGCGTGAGGGCGGGAGGACGGCGCTGCGCAGAGGATTGAGAGCAGCGCGTGAGCCCGAGGGGGGGGGGGCGAAGGGCAGGTAAGGAGGCAGCGAAGGACAGGTAAGGAGGGAGCGAAGGACAGGTAAGGAGGCAGCGGTTTGCGGCCGGACACAGGCCGAGTGCGCCTCGGCTCGAGCGCCGGTTCGACCGCAGACGAACGCGGCTCCCGCTTCTAGGGCCCGAGATACGGGGAGATATGGGGAGATGCGGGGAGATCTTCCGCTTCTAGGGCCCGAGATATGGGGAGATATGGGGAGATGCGGGGAGATCTTCCGCTTCTAGGGCCCGAGATACGGGGAGGTATGGGGAGATATGGGGAGATGTGGGGAGAGATTCCGCTTCTAGGGCCCGAGATACGGGGAGATATGGGGAGATATGGGGAGATCTTCCGCTTCTAGGGCCCGAGATACGGGGAGATATGGGGAGATGTGGGGAGATCTTCCTCTTCTAGGGCCCGAGATACGGGGAGATATGGGGAGATGCGGGGAGATCTTCCGCTTCTAGGGCCCGAGATACGGGGAGATATGGGGAGATGTGGGGAGATCTTCCGCTTCTAGGGCCCGAGATACGGGGAGATATGGGGAGATGTGGGGAGATCTTCCGCTTCTAGGGCCCGAGATACGGGGAGATATGGGGAGATGCGGGGAGATCTTCCGCTTCTAGGGCCCGAGATACGGGGAGATATGGGGAGATGTGGGGAGATCTTCCGCTTCTAGGGCCCGAGATACGGGGAGATATGGGGAGATGTGGGGAGATCTTCCGCTTCTAGGGCCCGAGATACGGGGAGATACGGGGAGATGCGGGGAGATCTTCCGCTTCTAGGGGCCGAGATACGGGGAGATATGGGGAGATATGGGGAGATGTGGGGAGATCTTCCGCTTCTAGGGCCCGAGATACGGGGAGATATGGGGAGATGTGGGGAGATCTTCCGCTTCTAGGGGCCGAGATACGGGGAGATACGGGGAGGGACGGGGAGATCTCGCGAGATTGTCCGCTTCTACGCGCCCGCTCCGCCGCCGCACAGAGCGCTCTCCCAGCGGCGCAGCAGGGGCGCGGACCGCTCCGGCTCCGACAGCGGCCTCCACCCGGCAAAGTGGCGGCGGAAGGCGGGGATGGCGAGGGCGACGGCGGCCTACGGTGAGGTAAGGTGAGGGTGAGGTGAGGTGCACTTCTCCACACACACACGAGGTGGTGGGGGCAAGGGCGGTGCATGGCACAGAGCAGGGTGCGGCTCAGGGACACTTCTCCACACACACACGAGGTGGTGGGGCAAGGGTGAGGCTATCCCTCGCGTCTCCACGTCTAACGACAGGAGCCCCGCACGGCATTGAAAGTGCGAGGCCCGGTGCGCGTGGGTGAGCGGTGTGTGTGTGTGTGTGTGTGTGTGTGTGTGTGTGTGTGTGTGTGTGTGTGCGTGTGTGTGTGTGTGTGTGTGTGTGTGTGTGTGTGTGTGTGTGTGTGTGTGCGTGT